CTGAAACGTCATAGGAGCATTAGTCAACCCAAATGGCATCCGTTTAAGTTGGAACAGGCCCAATCCTGGAACAGAGAAAGCCGTAATCTTTTTGCTCTCTTCCGACATCGGTACTTGATGGTACGCCATCTTGAGATCTATTTTTTAAATAAATCTCGCCTTCCGAAGCTTATCCAAAATTGAATCAACGCTTGGAATTGGATATGCGTCCCTGATCGTGACCTTGTTAACGTCTCTGTAATCAAAACAGAGCCGAAGTGAGCCATCACTCTTTTTCACCACTACCGGTGCCGTACTCCAATCACTGTCAGCTGCTTCGATTATTCCCTGGTCCAACAATTTTTTAACTTCATTGATCAACTATACGTGTTGGATCCAAGTCAGCACTAATTGTCCCTTCATAATTTTTGGGACACACTATCCCTTCTCCCATCAAAATTCCGTTAGTTCTTTCTCCCATATTTCCTATCACACTATACTCTGTAGGAATATTCTCGTCCTGATCGGTGTTCTCGGACACAAAAATAGGACGGCCACTAGTTCCACCAGTTACCTCCCATGTTACCCTCTTCTTGACTCTTTGACTCAACTTGGTCATTTTCTCCCCATATTCTGGTCTTTCGACCGCCACACTATCTTGTTCCCCCAGCTCATCACTCTTGTATTGCATTGGCTGCACTCTGAAGAAAATCTCTGATTGATTTTCCCTCAGCTCCGTGGTTGTTGGAATTGGGGGAAAAGGACACCCTGTCCCCCACTTTCGCGTTTCCCAACAGCTCTCTTGCATAAACGGAGTTTGGACATTGGGTAAATATTACCCCTTTAGTCCCACAAACCTGACAGAACACATTCGGTGTTCTTGGTAACCTATTGGTACACTCTGACGAGAAATATCCTTGACCCCGACAGCTAAAACAGACACGACTGGGACACTGCGCTGCTCTGTGTCCCACCACTTGGCATATATTACAAGCTCCAAGGAAAGGTCGTTGCCCTGTTGACGCCGGGTTAGGGACACCTCTAGGTTTCCACGGCGGTCGTGGGACATTCCCACTTGGTTGACCACCGGCCACAACACTTGGGACATTCTGTGCAACGACCTGGGTAAAAGTTTTAGGAATCTCTTGCACCTTTCGCTGCTCTGGGACAATTTTATTATTGTCCTGTTGACGCCCCAAATCAAGAACTTCCTTTTAACATCCTTTTTATCCCTCATTTCGGTCCCAGACTCTGAAGAGGAACCTTGCAACAAAGCATCAACTTTGTGGCCTTTAATTGTACCCTTTGGGGCCGCTGAAGGAAAAAGCATTTTATTCTTTGGCGGTGGTGGGGCATATCTTTTATCAATGTCCCTTATCCGCTCGTAGCGCCTTAATATGGTTTCCAAATCCCCTATCGAATCGTCCTCGAACCCTGCAATGTACCTTCGATAGTCCGGAGTCAACCCTCTAAAAATTGTTCTCAACAATTTATCCTCAGATATCGGTCTATTCATATGATCCGCAATTATCTTCAATTTCATGATGTAGGTAGAAATTCGCTCACCTTTGGCCTGTGTACGAGCTTTGAGTTCGTCCCATACGTCCTCATCGTCCAATGTCACAGCGAATTCTCTCAAGAACAACTTCTTGAAAGTTCTCTAAGAGCCAATCTCATCTCGTGTGAGCCTATACCACCTACTGGCGGACTGACGTAGTACGCTAGGTACAGCCATGAGAATCTGTTGATCAGTGAGATCATTGCATTCTTTGCAATCATGAAGCAGCTCCAGAAACTCTTCTGGATCCTTCTTCTCCGTAGCTGAAAACTTAATGTCCCAATCCTTGAACAGTTTGGCCGTATGCGAATTCACCCTGTGTGGGTGACCATGTCTCCGCCTATTTTCCCCCAAATTTGCTCTGTCATCCGTTTCTGAGCCTTCAGATTGGAATATCAATCACAAGGGAGATTTTTTTCCACCTCTTGAGGACTTATCACCCTCACTCGGATGTCTCTCTGCTCCACCCATTGATCCGGAATTACTCCCGCCCACGGCAGCGTGTCCCACTGACTTCGGCTTAGTGACTTGAGGAGTAGGTAAACCTTGTGCCCTACTACTCCACTCCATTGCTTCAGGAGCATTTAAGACCTTCCGCATTCCTCGTACTATCTCCGACATTTCCTCTATCGTGTTTTCCGAACCAGGAAATATCTGGTTTGGCCCCAATGATTGAGGACCCTGTCTCTTTGGAATTGCACCAGTTGTCACCCCTGAGTCATATTCCGACGGTACACCGATCGGTTGAGGTGTTTAACCAAACGACTGCAATTGAGAAGGCAGCCAGTTAACCCCCATGTTCTGATTTTGCTCCCAAATTGCTCTTAACCTTGGGCCAATATGCATCCCGGTGTTGACTTGTCGAACTCGCCAAGAACTTGGTGTGGCAGCCGGAGTACAAACCTCTGAGGCGTCGACCACACAACATTTGTATTACCTCCCACTGTTGATCCTGCCATACACGTCACAACTGTAGTTGAGACTGGCGCAGCACTGGCGGTGACTGTACAAATTCCTACCGTGGTCAGAGAAGTGTACACCCCTTGTGTGCACTGACCACTTGCTTCCTCATACGAAACATTTTCTCCTGCGACTGGAGAATTGTTTCGTATGGCCGAATTGTCTGCTTAGGACCCCCTCGCCCAGTACGCCCTCTGTATCCACCACGAATCTAACCTCAGGATTTGATTTACTGGACTCATTCCTTTCCATAGGCATGAAAGCCTCACACAGAAAGGTTTGTTCTGAGTCCGCCATGTCGAAATTACTGTACCAAAGCACATACAGTTTTTCACCGAACAACATTTTCATCCGTAGACGCCATAATCGTTCGCGAATCACTTGATTAGTGCCTCTCGCGCTGCACCCCTGGTTTTCCAATTCAGAACTCACTTCCCGAATTGGGGTACGCAAAATATTCACCCAAATCGCTTTTGCGTCCTCATCCTCTAGAAGTAGAGCCAAATACTGTCGATAAGACAGCATCGCTATGTCTGAATTATCAAATTCAGCGCTCATAAATTAACAAGGTTTAACCACTAAAATTAAAATTAATTTTTCACTACGAGACACGCCACGAAGGAAAAACCAAAAAAAATTAAATAACTCCACTCACTATCTCTCGCTTATTTATTCCCCCAACAGAATAAATAAAAGTTTAAAGAAATCTACACAGGCCCAAGAAAAACTATAATAAAGAAATTAAAATTATTCCGTTCCACTGTATTCGATTTCATATAAAACCACAATAAAAAGAAAAGAAATAATCGTTTCCCGCGTCTAAATCCTCAACGCCTGAAAATTTAACATGGCGTCACCACGCCAACGGAAATGATAAATTTCCTGTTCACACTCACTATTACACCACGCTACTAATCCCTTTCAACAAAAAAATAATAAATATACGCACTATTTTACCGCCGGTCTCACGAACTCAAAAAGAAAATCTAAAGAAACACCTTTTTAATTCTTTTGAATTCTCAGCAAAAATGCTGGCCAACTTGTAAAAATAAATATTCAAAATCACATACAATACCCCTTGTTCGCTGTTCGCTTCGACAATCGCGACGACTCCAGCCTTTCCCCACTCTCCTGGCAGAAAATATGACACCACCGCCTCTCACTCTCTCCTCAAATTTTGCGCGGCATTGTAATTTCGACGGCTTCGCTCGTCGCCATTTTTCTACCGGCAAATGACGTCACTTCCGTGCACATGGCAATTTAATTCCATGGCCCTGGTATTTTCCAACGATTTTTACACTCCCCAAAATATTAGTCCCCACAAACAAAGGAAAAATTTTCACAACAAATGTGCCTCCAATATTTAAATAATTTGGTTCGTTTGTCTCACTGTTTGGCGGCTGCCCCACGTTGGGCGCCAATTTGCGACGTGCTTTTTAAATAAATTAATATTGCGCATCTAGCGCGTCGTTGATAATTATTATTAAGAAAAACCTATCCCACGATGCCTTCAACAGCAAATCTCCGCAATCTGTAATTAATAATTACGCCAACTCCCAGTTAAACACTGATTCTCACGAGTATAATTCTTTATTTAAAAATAAGTAAATCACAGTCAACAATAATTAAACTATCAATCAAAATTATATGGAACACTCGCGATCCGCGGCCGTGTCTTACGAGGCGACTAAAGAGGGAATTTTGAACGCATTACGTCTCCACGTCCGGTGGCTTAGGCATCCCAGTCGTTGACTTGGATAGATCGTTGAGAACGATAGTAAGCGCAATTCTGTATTTATGCAGCTTGGAGAGAAGCCTTGCGCGAAGTACCCTCTCTCCAAATTGTAAGAGCCAATCGTGGGCTTGTAGTTCCTCCTCCATGCAGCTCCTGCGCAGTGCGGAGAAAGGAAGAAGCGAGAATCAGCCGAGCGCAGGATTTCATAGAGATAGGACGTTAAGTTAATTGCTGAGAGAGAGAGGGGATTTTTCATTGTGTTTTGCTGTCAACGTTGTACCGAACTCCGATTTAAATAGCTAACCTATAAAGTAATTAAAAATAGGTTTTAAATATAATATTTCTTAAGGTTATATTTGGTAATATAGTGTATCTTATATAGTGTAAACATATATTAGACAAAATTATAATATACCTTAATTAATTTTATATGAAACAAAAAAAATTATTATTTCTTTGACAACACGGGAAAACATTTTATATTAAAAGACAATAAAATGGTAATACATTTTGACATAATCGATATGAAAAGGAGGCTATTCACGGTTCGTTAAGAATTATTCATAATGTTATTTGAATATTTGAAATTACGCTATGGATACTTACTAGTGAATGAAAATAAATTGGAATATAACCAACTATAACATCCTCTTTATTACAAATGCCGATAATTTTGGTAATACATTTCAACTATCCTGAACTCTCCCAGCCTACCTACTAATATCCTAAATTGATGATATATAAAACTCCTTTTTTCTGTTTTAACAGTGTGTTAGCTAATCTAAATTTGCCTGCTGCTATTGAAGACACTAGTGGCATAGATGTTCCGCAATCTTTAATTGATAAAGCTGCTTTTGTAAAGACTGAAGGTGGTATTACAGCTCTGGAAGCAGCCATGAATGAATTGCCGGAATTACTTAAGAGAAATGAAGATATTTTAAATGAGGTACTAAAATACAAATATATTTGTCACGTTAATTTACTTAATACTACTATAAATCCCTTCGCAGTCAAGGACAAAATCTCATAAGTCGGCCCAAATTATACTGCCCTACAAATTTCAAATTTTTTTCTGCGAATAACATGGGACATAGTGTTTCCGAACTGATTTTTTGTGCTGAACACGAATCCGGGGTCGAAAACTTCCCATCACGTCACGTTTTCGAGAAAATAGGGGTTGAAACCCCTAAAAATAAGGTTTTTGGCCATTTTTGAAAAATTATACAGCGAAAACCTGACGTTGTACAAACTTTGCTGATATCAGAAATTAAAGGTTGGTTCATGCCCTTTCAAACGAGCTATATTCGAAATTGATCGCACTCACCCTTAGAGCAGGGGGTGTGTTTTTGTCTAGGGGTGCACGAAAAAAATGTAAACATAACATAAAAATTCAAAATGGATAACAATTAAATAAATCATGATAGTTAAGGGGTTTTCGGGGTCGCTGATTACGAATCTGAAGTCAGATTTCAAAAATTCAAAATGGCGGATCCAATATGGCGGATGTCAAAATAAAATACCACGTCAGGTTTTCGCTGTATAATTTTTCAAAAATGGCCAAAAACCCTATTTTTAGGGGTTTCAACCCCTATTTTCTCGAAAACGTGACGTGATGGGAAGTTTTCGACACAGGATTCGTGTTCAGCACAAAAAATCCGTTCGGAAACACTATGTCCCACGTTATTCGCAAAATCGATGCAGGGCAGTGTTATCAATAAGAGTCCGAAAGACAAAAATTTGTGCAAATGTGTATACTATTGTATTTATGGTCCCTGATTGGGAATATAAAGTCAGATTTTAAAAATTCAAAATGGCGGATCTGATTTATGATTTGCCATAACAGGTCAAAAATTAATTAAAATTGCATAGAAATTGTTACATGGGGGTTTTTGAGGTCGCTGATTTTGAATTTGAACTCAGATTTAAAAACTTTAAAATAGCATAATCTTATGGACGTAATTATTAAGGGGTTAAACCACTATAGAACGTCAAATAGAGGCAGTACGGGACCACAATCGAGATCAAATTCAAATCCTCGCTGTCAGCTGGTACATATTATCTTATTTACGACCCGAGAGTTAGCCTCGTGAAAGTGTGCGGTAGGACTTTAGATTCCTTAATTTTTTATATTTTAGATTTATTTTAATTTAGTTTCATTTTTTTTTCTTTTTCTTTAGTTGTACATTTTATATTGATTTTTTAATTAAATATTTAATACAGAGAGAATATTTTAAAGATTGTTTGTTTCAATAATTATATGTATTTTTTTTGTTTAGGAAAATCCTAAACAACAACAAGTAAGATACTTTAGTAATTTTTCAACATATTTGATTGTCATATTAGATCCGACATTTTGAATTTTTTTAATCTGACGTCAAATTCGAAATCAGCAATCCCAAAAACCCTTAAGTAACGAGTTTTAAGCGAATCTTGTCATTTTAAAATTTTTGGTCGTCATATTGAATCCGCCAGTTTTGGATGTTTTAAAACTGATATCAAATTTTCAATCAGCGACACCAGAATCCCCCAAGTAACAAATTTTTGTACAATTTTGTCTTTTTATTGGGCTCAAAATTTGTTTGCGTGTATACGTGGGATTTCATTTGAAATTAAAGGTAATATCTCAGATTACTTTTAAGATGTTTTTTGTTCAAAATACGTTATATTTTTGGAAAAAAAATTTATTGTTGAAAATTTTTAATAATTTATATAAACAATCAATTTTATTTTTAAAAGCTGTCGACCCCGCCTTCTGCGGGTTTCGACATCTACCCAGTACAAATGAACTATTTAAAGTAAATTGAAATGAATAGAAATGAATTCCCAATGGGAAAAATACCATTGGCGTATTAATGACCCAATCATGGGAGCCAAGGATGCCAATATAATTTCAATAATGGCACCCAATGATGGGCCATTATTGGTAAATTCATGGGCTGTCCACGCTGTTGCCAATGATTGTCAACCAATAATAAGCCAATATTAAAAATTTTAATAATTTAAAACATCAATTAATTTAAAAAAATTATTTTTTTATTTTTATTATTTTTTAAGTTATTATTATTTTATATTTAACCACTTGTCATGGCGTTCCAACTGGCGTCGTGCGTGGCAGTGACAGAAGCGTCAAAAAGGCATAAATGGCGTTCCTACTTGAATTCAATTTGTAAAGTCCGTAGACATAATTAACTAACTATAACTTACTTTTTATATTTTTTGAGATTAAGCAAGACGTATGTGACAGGAAAAAATTATTTTTTTAAACATTCAAACAGTTTTTTCGAAATTTAAAGTCGACAATTTTTGGTACTTTTTTGCGAATGGCGTTCTAACATTTACTCAATAAAATTATATTTCTGCTTCCAAAAACTGTTCAAACCACCCAAATCTTGTTACTCGGGGATTTTCGGGATCGCTGAACATGCATTTGATGCCAAATTGACAATTTGACAGTTGACAGCTGTCAATTCAACTGTCAACTTCTATAAAAGACAATTATTTTTTATGAAAATAACTGTATAAGGGTTTCCGGGGTCGCTGATTACGAATATGAGATCAAATTGACAATTTGACAGTTAAATTAACAGCTGTCAATTCTGAAATTGTCAATTTGACCACATATTCGTATTCAGCGACCTCGAAAACCCTTATACTATTATTTTCATTAACATTAATCACTTTTTATAAATTTGACAGTTGATTTGACAGCTGTCGAATTGTCAATTTGATCTCATATTCGTAATCAGCGACCCCGAAAACCCTTATCCCTTTCAGGGGCAGTGAGACGTATACGTCCCACCTTTTTTGTTGTTGTATTTTTGGTATTTCCGGCATATTTATCTAATAATAATCATATATTTCTTATTTTTAGATTCTAAGGATATAATATAACGAATCTATAATATTGTTTATGAATAATTTATTATTGTTAACTTAATATTATTCCATCAATCTGAAAAATATGCATTTTTTTAATAATTAATTCAGCTATTTGTAAACGCGAAGTGCTACGACTTTGAAAATCTTTACTCGGGGGTTTTTGGGGTCCCTGATTACGAATCTGAGGTCAGTTTTTCAAAATTCAAAATGGCGGACGACTTTTTAAAAATATAATGCAATTTGTATGAAACTCGTTACCCCGAGTAACAAGTTTCAAGCGAATATATTGAATTTTAAAAAAAATGTCCGCCATATTGGATTCGCCATTTTGAATTTTTAAAATTTGCAAAATCTGACCTCGGATTTGTATTCAGCGACCCAAAAAACGTATAAATACGTAATGAAACAAAAATTTGTATGCTTAGAATAATGTGCCCCTGAAAGGGTTATACTGTCATATTCATAAAAAATATTTGTTTTTTATAGAAGTTGACAGTTGAATTGACAGCTGTCAACTGTCAAATTGTCAATTTGGCATCAAATGCATGTTCAGCGATCCCGAAAATCCCCGAGTAACAAGATTTGGGTGGTTTGAACAGTTTTTGGAAGCAGAAATATAATTTTATTGAGTAAATGTTAGAACGCCATTCGCAAAAAAGTACCAAAAATTGTCGACTTTAAATTTCGAAAAAACTGTTTGAATGTTTAAAAAAATAATTTTTTCCTGTCACATACGTCTTGCTTAATCTCAAAAAATATAAAAAGTAAGTTATAGTTAGTTAATTATGTCTACAGACTTTACAAATTGAATTCAAGTAGGAACGCCATTTATGCCTTTTTGACGCTTCTGTCACTGCCACGCACGACGCCAGTTGGAACGCCATGACGCTCAAGCGGTAAATAATTAAATTAAAATAAAAAAATGGTCATCACAGTATTAGTGAAACCATTTCTTCAAAAAAAAAATTTGTCTCACAACCTAATAAATAGGAGAGACATCAGGCAGAAAAATATTTTAAAGAGTGTGACGGGAAAATATTTCTTGAGATTATTTTGAGAAATAAATTATCAAATTTTAGGATAAGGGTTAGGGAAAAAAGGTCAATAACTCGCCCCTGTGACCTTACATCGATCTAAGCACCAATAGTTCAATATATTGGCGCATTGCCGAAAATCGTCGAATCCGTTCGCCTTATTGTATGTTGGGAGTATATCTCTTTGTTTGTATTATACCAAATTATATTGAATTGTTGGATCGATTGAATGGAATTGTATGGAACTTGAGGATCGACGTTATCCAAAATTCTTATCGTATTATTTGAACGAATTTTATTAAAAGAGTCGATATTTGATCATTATTGATCAGACAAGTAAGTGGTTAATGTATTTCATTTGATCTTTTATAATAATTTTTATATTCCTGGAAGTCGCCTAATATTTCATTTTTATATTTTGTATTTAGGTTCACCAACTTCCCTCCCTGTGATTTTTTTTGAAATTTTGAAATTTGCGATCTTCTTCGCGAACGAGAACTCGACGATACATTTTTTCTATATCCGCAATAATGACGAAATTATATATACGGAAACGAATAATGTGACTAATTAAATTGTCTTGCATTGTTGGCCCTGTCATTAAAATTTCGTTTAACGATATACCGGTTGTAGTTTTGGCTGAGCCATCGAATACAACGCGCAATTTTGTTGTTAGACTTGATTCTTTAATCACGGCTTGATGTGGTAAATAAAATCCGTCGTTTGTATTCGCGAAATCAGTAACGTTAGTCATTTGTCCGAGAGTAATATATTCGTTTATTACTCTTGTGTATTCTTCTGCGAAAGTAGGATCTTTTTCAAATTTATAAAGGAGAGATTTTAATCGTTTTAAAGCTCTTGAGTAAGAATGTCCGAGTTCCGAAATATTCGATTTAAATGGTAGCGCGACTTTGTATTGACCAGATTGAACTCGGCTTACTGTTTTACGAAAAAACTCTGCACATTCGACTTCTTCCTTTGACCAAATTATATTCTTGTTTCCTTCTTCGATTTCCCAAAAACGAGTCAACGT